AATTTGAGTTTGAATTTGAATTTGAGTTTATTTGAATTTATTTTGAATTATTTTGAAGCTGGTTGCAGACTCCATATCATGTCAGCTCTTTTTTTTACATTTTTCTTTTTTATTATTTATTTTTAAAGGTTTATTTTAGAGAGAGGGAGTGCATGCACATTTGAGTGGGGGGAGGGGCAGAGGGAGAGGGAGAGAATCTCAAGCAGACTATCCACTGAGTGCAAAGGTTGATGGAGGCTGATGCAGGGCTTGATCTCCTGACACATGAGATCACTACCTGAGTTGAAACCAACAGTCGGATGCTCAACCCACTGAGCCACCCAGGTGGCCCCATTTTTCTTTGAAAGGTTTAGCCATAGTCCTACTTCTGTGTCATTTTTCTAGAATCCTACATTTCTTTTAACCATCCAAGGGCCAAAGTCAACTCCAAAAGAGAGAGTATGTCCACTTCTATGTAACAGAACTAGAAGAAAGATGGCTTTCTCTAGAATTGTTAATCCCACTGCTCCTACGCAAAATGTTTCTTCTGAGATCTAGAGAGGAAAGTAGATTTTTGGTTTACCTGACGTCTCCTGTGAACTCCCTGTTTAACAATTGTGTCTCCCAGAACTGTTTGTGGCTCAGGACTTACTCTTACTTATCCATTGTATTTGACAGTTGAGCTTCTGGGTTGCCTTATGAGGAGTGCTCAGGAGAATATTAGGAAAGCCCTGACTGCTTCCTTGGAGTTCCTTTTTCCGTGTTTTAATTCTTACTACTGCTGAAGATTACACTGACACTAATGTGATGGGAGTTCAGGGCCCTTTATGATGAATGTCTTTTCAGTGCTGTTTTCAGAAGTTGTTGAACACCATAGTATTCAGCTAGGTTTATCTCAAGGTTACTGATTAAATTTTGTCAAAATCTGCCCCCATTCTATTTTCCTATCTGAAACCGTATGCTACTAGTTTGTCTGACAGTATTCACTAGAAGAGATGAGAGTGTGTTGGGTATGTGATGACATTATTCAGATGTCCATATATAGTCCAGTGTCCAGTATAGTTCAAATAGTTCAGTGCTAGCAGTAGAAGAAAATTCTCCTGTCAATTTCTTACTTTTCAGTGTTATGCCATGTATTTCCTCTCCTGTTATAAAGTAAGAAAAATTCTTTGTTCCCTCAGATCACTTTAGACATATTTAAATCCTGATACATTTGTAAGATGTGTGATAATGTGGGTATGTTGGAGGTCCTATGAGCACCCTCGTGTTTAGAGATTTGCTTAAAGGACTCACTGGATTTATTAGAGTGACATAGTAAGGATATACAGCCAGATTTAAGGAAAAAGACAAGTAGAGTCTGGGGGAGCCTGTGTGCAGGTTTCCTTATATCCTGTCTTTCCCATTAGGGATTAGACAAAGTGCATTCTTCTCTCAACGGTGAAATTGAGGCAACATGTATGTGGTATTTTTGCCCAAGGAAGTCCATTAGAGAAGTGGTGTTGGTGTTTTTTTGAATAAAGGAGAGGGAGTTCATCATGTAGGTACTCTATCTAGCTGATACCAAAATTCACATTCCTGGAAGGGAAGTAAATGTTCAGCATAAACAACATTGCACAGTGAGCCACCACTATCAGGGAATGATGGGAACCTTCCAAAATTCTTAGTCATCAGCAAGGGGTAGCCTTGCAAGCTGGCTTTTTTCTAAGGATAGCAGCCTCAGGCTTTCAATGTTAATCTTTTCTGCACAATGGATAATAATATGGAACTCAGTTTTGGTCTTATTAAGTGTAGCTTCCCAGAACTTGCAGTTGGAATGAGTTATCAAGGAGTTGTCAGCATGAATCTGGAAAACGTGATATCAGGAAATGATAGTCTTTAGTCATAGAATAGATGAGAAAGCTTAGGGAGGGCATGTAATTTCAGAAAGAAATTCAGAAAATGCCTGGAAACATTAACCTTAAAAGTGAAGAGAACATTTTTCTTTCTAGATGATGGGGAAGTTTATAAATTTAAGTGTATATGTGTATTTAATGCATGTGTTTATAGGAAAAGGAATAAGTTTGAAGGAGATAGCTAGGAGGGAACTTGGGGTTTTGACATCCTTTTTTTTGAAAACGTGGAATACAGAGTCATTAACTGCAAGTGAAGGGTAGGTTGTGAGCCTTGAGGAGGGAGGGGGAAACTGTTTTAAAGAATTTAAGTTAGATAATAGGAAAAGGGAGATGATGGGCACCTGGGTGGCTCAGTCGTTAAGTGTCTGCCTTTGGTTCAGGTCATGATTCCAGGGTCCTAGGATCGAGCCCTGCATCGAACTCCCTGCTCTGCAGGAAGCCTGCTTTTCCCTCTCCCGCTCCCCCTGTTTGTGTTCCTTCTCTCGCTGTGTCTACCTCTGTCAAATAAATAAATAAAACCTTAAAAAAGGTGTGTGGGGGGGAGATGACAGTATAATCAAATAAAAGAGCTGCTGCACAGAATGGAGGATCTGACCTTGTGTGGTCAGACTCATAATGACATTGTTCCTGACTCATGATGCCCCTGTCATTATTTTACCATAGTTTGATTTAAAAAAATAATAATAAATTTTTTAAAAGATTTTATTTATTTGAGAGAGAGAGCATGAGCTGGTGGGAGGGGCAGAGGGAGAGGGAGAAGTAGACTCCCCTCTGAGCAGGTGGCATGACCTGAGCCAGAGGCAGACACTTAACCAACCGAGCCCCCCAGGGACCCCTGTAGTTTGATTTTTAATAGACGCTCGTCAGAAGCCGTATGTTCATAGAATAATACCTTCTTCTTTGCTTCCCATACCTGCCATCTTTGTAAGTTGGAGTATTCATCTGTATTTTATCCTGCTTTCTTCAAGCTCATATCCCCTAAACAAGTATGCCTCCGGAGTCTTGAAAGACTCTATTATTCTCTGCCATTGGACTCTGCTTAGCTACTTTTTGTGAAGTATTACAGCCTGGGTGCGGAGGCAGAGGGCCTGTAGATAGATGTTCAAGGGAGGATTGTTTATGTTTGTTTCTTTCGTCCTAGTTTTAGTTTTGTGACTTTTCTGGAACAAGGGGATGAGAAGTAGAAAATGATACATTTACTTTTTATGGTACATGAATAGTAGTTCCTCTTTATGGAATCATTTTTAATATAATATGAATGAAGGTATAATTTTAATAAGAATTATGAAGTCAAGAAGAAGAGAACTTTGCTAACCTGCCCTGTTTTCTCCTCTCTATCCCCCTTTCTTAAAATTATAGCAAAAGTCTGGAGAAAAGCCTGTCCCAGGTATGGTTCTTGATATTCTTATTAAACTTGAAATAAAACCGGTCTGTTTAACTCAGTGACAGCTGTAGCACATGAGATGAGCTAAGGTCCTTTTGTCCTTCTAGACTCTCATGGTAATTTGTTACTCCTAATTTGTAAGATCAGAAGGTGCTTTTGTGGTAGTGATAGGAGTACTTAAAAGATTAATTGGAGTAGGAAGAGTAAGTATTGAAGAGGGGTGGAGGAGCCAAGGTGATCTGAGTTTTAGTTCAGATCTCAGTGTGAAAAAAGGGTGTTCTGTTTCATCATTGAAAACAGATATTGAAGTATTTGTTCAGCCTGGGAGAGACTCTGTGTCTTGTTTGTGCATATTGTCTTATTTAAAGGACAAGTGTGTTTGTGTATGATCACAAATTTGCCTGGGTTATCAGGGTTTTAGGTTTGTAAATGGGTTCTTATATATCTGCCTGATAAAACAGCCAAATTTAGAACTTGGGATAGGCAGTTCTAAATGGACTCGAATCTAAAGTATTCATTTTACTGTTGCCTAAATTGATCTCATCCCTCCGCCTTCCTCTCCAAAAAATACCTGCTTTTGATGTCTAGTGGATCAGACAAAGAAAGAGGCAGAACCTGTACCAGAAACTGTAAAATCTGAAGAGAAGGAGACCACAAAGAACGTCCAACAGATAGTGAGCACCAAAGGCCCTCCTGAAAAACGAATGAGACTTCAGTGAGCAATGGAGAAGAGAGAAGCTTGCAAGACTCCTCTTGCCCGTTATTTATACCTCATTACTGTGACAGGCTCTTGAACTTTGAAATTCTTTGTCACAGCCTTTCCATTTGTATAATGCTTGTTCTTTAAAAAAGGATGGAAGGATCCTCATGCTTTTGATATGAATATTTTTAATGTATGTTTTGTAACCTTTTCCCTATTCGGCTTGAGCAGCCTCCTCACTCAAATGTACACTGCTATATACATCCAAAAACAAAATAAAGATATTTATATAAAGCACTTACTCATGACTTTTTCCCTTTATTTCTGTCACTGAAATGTTTCCAGATGCACTTTGTAAACATAAAGAATTAATGTGAAAGCAGTAACTGAGCTCATTTTCTTTTATTGTGTATTTCTCAGTATTAAAATAATAAAGTTATAATTTGAAAGATTAAGGGAAAAACCTCCTACAAATACTATCACAGTGCTATGAAGTTTTTTTGTGTGTAGTTATTTTTAAAACTGCAGCTTGTAATTATTCTCTTCATGCAATTTTACTTTTATCATATTACTTTGTCTTTTGTAAGTACTTCTCCACATTTGTTTAGTTTTTATAGACTATTTATTTTAGTGACTGAATAATTCCCATGGATGATTCTGTTTTCTTTAAACTCTTCCTGTATTCTGCTTAAAGCTGTAGTGATTACATTTGTGTATAATGACTTTTCTTTAGGATAGAGTCCCACCAGTAGAATCACTGGAATTTATACTCTCTCTTTTTTATAACTTTAAGTTCATATTGTCACGTTGTTTTTCTCAAAAGGTTTGGAACCAGTTATTCAAACAGTAAAGTATGAAAGTACTTCTCTAGAATCTGGCTACCACTGAATATTGTCATTTTTGTTTTTAGTGCCAATTAAGTAGCAAAAAATATGTTTTAAGTGGTTGAATAATTTCTCATCTTTGATTTTGCTTTTATGAAATGTCTGATTTTTGTATAGTAAGATTTTTAGCTTTTTTTTTTTTTTTTTTTTTTTTTTTTGTTGCCTACCAGGTCCTTTATGCAGTTAATTTACAAGATGACACCAAGTTAAGACAAGTAAAGTTCCAGCTTGGATGCCTTCATCTCCCTCCCCTAAATCCTGATCCACTGGATGCCAAAGCTCAAAAGGGTTTGGGGTGGGGAATAGCTTGGTTATGGGAATAGCTGCTATGGTTGGCCCAGCAGATGGGCAGGGGGAAGGTTTCACTTCTTCACAATCTGAATGACATCCTCGTCCTCCAACGTATGATCTTTACCCACTTTTTGAGGATTGTGTTTCACAGAGAGACCCCAGACCAGAGCGTATTTAAATTCTTTGATAAGGTTTTTGTGAATCTTCATGCAAAAATCTTCCACTGTTGTCCTAGAGTAAGGCAGCACCACTGGAGATGTATAATCTGGCAACTGGCCTTTGGGTTTGGTATAAATCCTCACTAGTTTCAGATAGTCCCAGATCTTTTCCAATAGGTCATCAAAATTCTAGCGATGATGGGCAGAAATGGGTACACAGTGAGGCACCTTATAGATGATATCCAATTCCTCAATGGAAATCTGATCTATCTTATTCAACACGTAAATGCAAGGTATATAAACTCTGTTTCCTTCCACCACATCGATGAGGTCGTCCGCAGTGGCATCACTACGCAGCGTCACATCAGCATTGTGAATTTTGTATTCGGCCAGAATGCTCTTCACAGTTTCAGCAGCCAGCTCACTCTGAGGGCACGTGGCCGTGAGATTAATGCCTCCTTTATCCTTCTTCTTAAAGCCAGTGTTGGGAGGTTTGCTGTTCAAGCGAATGCCGAAACCTTCCAGCTCATTTTCAATTATCTTTTTATGTCCCAAGACATCCAGAACAATCAGGATCAAGTTACATGTTCGGGCCACTGCAATGACCTGACGGCCTCTACCTTTCCCATCCTTGGCACCCTCAATGATACCTGGAAGATCCAGGAGCTGGATCTTGGCACCTTTGTATCTGATGACACCAGGCACAGTGGTCAGAGTAGTGAACTCATAGGCTGCCACCTCAGAATATACCCCTGCCAGGTTACTAAGCAGTGTTGACTTCCCCACTGATGGAAAACTCACAAACCCAATTCGAGCATCACCTGTTTTGGCCACATCAAAACCTTCTCCTGGCCCACCACCACCACCACCTTTTGGGGTAATGAGCTCTCTACGAAGCTTAGCAAGGCGAGCCTTAAGCAGCCCTAGGTGGTGTGCTGTGGCCTTGTTCTTTTGAGTCCAAGCCATCTCGGCTTCAATCTCCGTGATCTTGGCTAAGGTGCTGCTCATGGTAGCGAGTCACGGGGACTTGTGGAGAGAACGCAGTAGCCTCCGAACACATTACCTCTCCTCACACAACCGTCTGGGTACCTCGATTTTTAGCTTTTTATTTTGACATAATTGCAAGCTTGTAGAAAATATGCAGGAATCGTATAAAAATTCCTATATATACCTTTTGCCCCAATTCCTCCTGTATTAACATTTTCCATACTTGTTTTATTCTTTAATTTCTTGCTTCTAACTCTTACTGTCAATTGCTTTTTCTCCCTTTCTCTATGTGTATATATAATACACATACTTACACCTTTAATTTCAGATTATGTCAGTTGCATACCCTACAACCAAGGACATTGACTTACAGTGCGACAGTACAATTATCAAAAGTAAGCTGGCATGATACTACTATCTGATCTGTAGATCTTATTTAGATCTCTCCAGTGGTGCCAAGAAATTACAGCAAAATAGTAAATTCACAGCAAAAGAGTATCTTGAATTACGCATTGGATTTAGTTGCCCTGTGTGTTTAATCTGCTTTGATCTGCAACAATTCTTCAATCTTCCTTGTTTTTCATGACTTGATATTTAAAAGGGTTAGGCCAGTTATTTTGTTGACTGTCTTTTAGTTTGGGTTTGTATGATACATTTTCATGGTTAAATTCGCCTCATGCATTTTTGTGAGGAATATGACAGAAAGGTGCTTATGGAGACACTTACTGTCAGTTTGCCCCATTTCTAGAGGTGATGTTAACTTTGATCGTTTGGTTAAAGTAGTGTTTGTTAGGTTACTACACTGTGAAGTTACTCTTTCTCCTTTTGTAATTTATAGGTAGCTTGTGGGGGAAATAGTGTAAGGCTCTTTAAATATCGTGTTATTCCTCAACCTTTTACCCAGTAGGTATTATCCATTGATCATTTTTCTCTGAATCATTTATTGGTTTGATGGTTGCCCAGTGTCCATTTTCTAATTCCATCAGTCCTTTTATATTTATTGGTTTTGTTGTTGTTGTAAAGAATAGCTTTCCTGGGCACCTGGGTGGCTCAGTGGGTTAAAGCCTTTGCCTTCAGCTCAGGTCATGGTCCCAGGGTCCTGGGATTGAGCCCCGCATTGGGCTCTCTGCTCCGCAGGGAGCCTGCTTCCTCCCCCTCTCTCTCTGCCTGCCTCTCTGCCTACTTGCGATATCTCTCTCTGTCAAATAAATAAATAAATAATCTTAAAAAAAAAAAAAAAGAATAGCTTTCCTTTCTTCCCTGCTTATTTATATCATTGTGGACCCGTGGACTCCTGGAATCTTAATGTATTCAACAAGTTATTTACATTGATGCTCACAATTGTCTCAGATTGGGCCAATGGGGGTCCCTTCAAACGGATTCTTGTGTCCTTTTGAAATGACCCCCTGTCATTGATTGAGCATTTTCTTTACATGTTAACACAGTAAGGTATTTCAGGCTTATCCCAACCCTGGAGTCCGCCATTTCTCTAAGGATCCCTGGTACCTTTTGGTGGAAAATGCATTTGGAAAACCCAAGATGTGTGTGCTCTATGTGCTCATTTGCTACTGGGCTGTCATGCTTCTAGGCCTTGTCAGTTGACAATTAAGAAATAGATATAGGCAGGAGTGAGTGAATATGCAATACACCCCCACATTGGTATCTGTCTGTTGCGTGTATAAACAGCCATCAGTTCACATTGATACCATCACATCAGTTGCAATCCATGACTCTTGTTCACTGTTATATTTGTAACTGTTTTCCACATTGATGAGAATTCTGCTTGCTGTTCTCCATAATGTTATTTATTTGCTTAATCCTAGAATAACAAAGTTTTAGAATTACTTATTACTACTCCAAAAAAGAAACTTACTGTAAGAGTTCAGTATTCGGTAGGGTTCTTTTTGTCTTTAGCCCTAGGATTATATATATAGTTCATACACTGTGTTAAAAAAAATTATTTGGATTAATATTTTTTTCCTCTTCATTGTGGTTACATTATTTACTTATTAAATGATTTATTACATTTGGTTCTATTTTTAATTCCAGTTTAGTTTTCCACTTCATCTTACTGATTCTTTCTGCTTTGTTGTTGTATTGTTTTGAGGTGTGTGAGATAACTAATGTGCCTCTAAATGTCAGAGCTGTCCAAAAAAGATTCTCAGTACCACACCCTTTCCTCCTCACCCTGTTCATTTCTTCTGTCTTTTCCACCTCATTCCTACCCCCCCCCCAAATAACTAGTTAGTTTCTAGTTTACCTCTACTAGATTTCTTTTCAGCAAAGGAGTAGATATTTTCTCATTTCCCCTCTAACTCAAAGGGCAACATATTTCATAAAATTTTGCACTTTGCTTATTTTCCACTTATTTAGGTGTGAACTTGAGACATAAAGATATTAACTCTTTGTCATATTTGCTTCAAGTATTTTTCCAATTTTTTCAGCAAAGCTTTTCTTTCAACTACATTTTAAAGTAAATATCATTCATAGAAAAGTACAGAAAAGAATGAGAGTACAACTCATTATACCTGTGTAAATTACCATGCAGGTAAAGAAGTTGAAAATATTACCCCAGAATCTCCATTATGTCCTCTCCTAATCACAGCACTTGTCCTTTTGATGATAGCTCACTGTTATCCTAGTTTTATGGTTAATCACTTGTTTTCTTTAAATTTTTACTATGTAACCATGCATCGCTACATAAGTGTATAGTTTTTATTACCTATTTATTTTGTATATAAATGGATCCAGTGTTTTCATGTATGTCTTCTTTTGTTTAATATTATGTTTATGAGGTTTATCAAAGTTGTTTCATGTTTTTGTAGTTCCTTATTTTCATTTCTGTGTAGCATTCCTTTATATAAATAGATTACAGCTTTTAAAATATGTTTTAATGGTGGTGGACATATGGATTGTAGTTTTTGGCTATTATGAAAAACTTCTATGAATATTCTTGTACTTTTGTATATCATAGGCTAGATTGTATGTCCATCTCCCAGTACCTCAGGATGTGACCTTATTGGAAAATAAGGTCATTGCATATGTAATTACTCAAGATGAGGTCTTGCTAATCTTAATTAGGCTTGGCCCTTAATCTAGGATGACTGATGTCCTTATAAAAAAGAAAGCCATGTGAAGAAATAACAGGAGAACACTATGTGAAGATGAAGGACAGGAGTGATCCACCTAAAAGCCTGGGAATTCTAGAGATTACCAGCAAATCATCAGAAGCCAGGAAGAAGCAAGGGAAAATTCCCTTATAGATTTCAAGAGAATCATGGCCCTGCTGACACCTTGATTTTGGAATTCTAGCCTTTGGAACTTTGAGACAATAGATTTCTTTTGCTTTAAACCACTAGTTTGTGGTACTTTGTTTTGGGAGCCCTAGGAAATGAATAACAGTGTACATGTTACTGTTTTACTCAAGATTGCTGGGTCACAGGTATGACTTTATACTACTTCATTGATAATGCTCATATGTCTATTTAGAAGCTCCATTATTATAGTTTCACATTCAGGAATGTGGTCCATTTGGTGGGGATTGACCGATAGATCAATCTGGGGAGAACTGACATTCTAGCAATATCACGTCTTCAGAACCACAGATATGCTGTATTTCTTCATTTATTTAGGTTTTCTTTAATTTCTCTTAGAGTTTTGAGAATACAGGTCTGTATATGTTTTGTTAAATTTATTCTGAGGGATGCCTGGGGGGCTCCGTTGGTTAATCATCTGCTTTCTGCTCAGGTCATGATCCCAGGGTCCTGGGATGAAGTCCCGGATGGGGCTCCTTGCTCAGTGAGGAGCCTGCTTCTCCCTCTGCCTGCTACTCCATTTGTGCGCACACTCTTTCTGACAAAATCTTTAAAAAAACTTGTTCCAAGACATGGGTTTTTTTGATACTATTATAAAGATGTTTAAAAGTTTTAATTTATATTTTGTCTTAGTATATAGACTTACAGTTGTGTTTTTTTGTATATTCGACCTTGTAGCCTGTTACTTTGCTAAATTCAGTAGTTCTGATGGGGTTTTTTGTGCACTGCTTAGGATTTTCTATATCCATGATGTCACCTGGGAATATAAAGAGTTTTACTTCTGTTAAATAACATGAAATTTATCATTTTAACTATTTTTAAGTATACAGTTGAGTGGCATTAAGTACATTCATATTATGCAACCATCGCCATCCATCTCCAGAACTTTTTCATCATCCCAAACTGAAACTCCATACTCATTAAACAATAACCCCTCTTTTCCCCTTCCCCCAGACCCTGGTAACCAGCATACTGTATGTCACTATGAATTTGGCTACCCTAGGTATCTCATGTAAATGGGGAAAATACTTTACATAGTATTTATCTATTTGTGTCTGGTTTATTTTAGTTAACATAAGGTGTTCAGGGTTCATCTATGTTCGAGTAAGTGTCAGAATTTTCTTTTTAAAGTTAAATAATACTCCATTGTATGTATACATGTGTGTATTCACACACATTCTATTTATTTGGTCAGTGGACATTTGCGTTTTCACATTTTGACTGTTGTGAATCATGCTGCTATAAACACTTATGTACAAATGCGTTTGAGTCCCTGCTTTCAGTTCTTTCGAATGTGCACCCAAAAATGATAATCGTATGTTTTTGAGGAACTGCCAAACTGTATTCCGTGGCAGCTGCGTCATTTAACATTCCAGCCAACCATGTATAAGGGTTCCATTTTCTCCACATTCTCACCAACACTTGTGGGTTATTGTTACAGATTTTTTGTTTTTGTTGTTTTTGTTTGTTTTGAAATGAGCCATCCTAATTGATGTGAAGTGATTTCTCATTGTGGGTTTGGTCTGCATTTACTTCATACAGTTCTGACATCAATTCCAATGTATGTATTTTTTCCAAACCACCAAGGATTCTCTAAGACCCCAGCTGGGTGTCCTGTAATTCAGCTCAATTCTGACCTACAATTCAACTCAATTCTGACACCATCTACCTGGAGACAGTGTCAGATCCCACAGGTTAAGGGCACAGTCTACAAGACTACCCACTCCAGATGCCAATTGCAAATCCAGGTTGTCTCCTGGGCCTCTAACTGCTTGGGCCTATA